TACTCTCCCAAGAAAGCTGCATGCAAATTTCTGCTACGTGAATTTTGAAGACACAGATCAGCTAAACTTCAAGAATGAAATATAAGCCTGTAACCATTTCTTTTACACACATTTGTGAAGTACCCCTCCTAACACCAAGCCTTGAAGTTGTATTTATATTTCTTCAAGCTAGAACACAGACATGGTCAGAATTAAAAAAAGCTATTAAACCTCTTCATTTTTATGACTATAATAAACAGAAATTTCACTTGAAAATGAACATTACGAGACCTAATATTTGAAAGATGACAAAATAAGTTCCCTATAGGGAAATCTAGGAAATCTATCTTTTTAAGAGGTACCTGTATCAGTCATCAAGTCTCAGTACATTAGAAACTAGTAACTCTCAATCACAGTAACAGATAAAGCCTTTTTGCATTTAACTAATTTACACGGGTGCATTGAAAGAAGGATATAAACATGTTTTTATCACTTTTTTTACATCAAAAAGGGTAATGCTTAAAAGCGCCACATTTGCTGTATAATCCCAAATAAAATATTTTGGAGTAAAGTGTATTGAGATGGTAAAAATAACGAGAATACCGACACAGGAAAAATACAGATAACACTTCAGCTAAAAGAACTGCAAACACAGTTAAATACAGAAAATAGCAGTTAGAGTACAAACCAAAACATTCAGTAACCGTGTCCTCACAATGAAAAGGACCTCTGTGACCTTTCAAGTCATCTTACATAACTTTTTTCCACAAATGGCAACAACTCTTAGAATGTGGATAGAGAAATGATTGTGCTCTAAATGGTCATTTCAATTTGTCAACACATTTGGGTTCCAAATAAAATTATTTCAAGTAAAAAGGTAAATCTCTCCAAAGACTACCTAGAAAATCTAGGGATTTTGAGACAGCCTACATAGGGAAGGCTGTGAACAGTAAGCATGAATTCACAAAGCTAGCTACAATCAGACAGGCACCCTGTTAGCATATGTAAAGTGTGAGCTCAAATGACTTTTGAAGGGCAACTAATTATTTTTGAAAAAAAATTGTCTAAACTGTGTCTAGTGGAGTTTGCTCCACTTTCAATGGAATAAACTGTCTTATTTTAAATGTATATTAAGACTGATTAGATGGTGCATCCATACCAGTTACATCCAGTAAACATAGAACTTAAAGATCACCAGCTTTTCCATGTAGATCAAGTTTCAGCATCAAACAACATAAAGCTGTCTATTGCTGAGGAGAGGTGACTGAGTGTCTCAAACTTGTCTATGTAACTAACACATCATACTTCTGCCTGCCAGCATATTCATATTCCATAAGCACTTCAAAATACCCATATACTCCAAGCTTCATAAAGGAATCTTTACCCTGCTAATTGGAGACTAAATTGGAAGTCTTGCTGCCAGCTTTAATGAAAAATTAAGCCAGCCACTGAAATACTTTACTGTTTTCATCACAGGTATTTTAAGTGTTGGCACTTGTCCATGAAGAACTTCTACAATACTTTAAGATGCCTAAGGATCTCACTCTCATGATAAAAAAATTTGTTCAGTGATGACACAATACAGTGCAGTAAGAGCAACACTACATGCAGAGCTTTGCTATTGTGCAGGATGTCTGAAGACAGAGCTTGTAAGTGGTGCTGAGGGGAGGAAACTCAGAAGGTTGCAGTATAATCACTAAGTCTTGGGAAAAAATTTACTACTGTGGCAAAATACATCTTTCCTCGATGCAAAGGAGTCTATGAAATTAGCCTTTTTATTGCTAGAGCCTATATCTAAGGAAAGAGTTGGATTTTAAAGAGACTCTGAGACTATGCTTGCTTGATAAAACCATCAAATCTCAGTATTCTGACTTCTGGAGGTTTCTGTCCTCTGACAACGACACCAGTGTCACAACAATAATCCAAGCTATGCAACCCTCGAAGACACATTTCCATTTCATTTCCTTTGGAAACATGGGCAGTTTACCTGCCATTTTTGAGGATTTAACAAAACTGAGAGAAGAAACAGATAGCAAAGAAGCATCCAAAAATGTCAAGGCTTGGAGCCTTGCTACACTGCTTATTAGTAAGACAGACTTAGGAACCAATAGAAGTGTTAAGAGAATGCATTTAAGTTGACTGGATATAAAAGGAGCCTGATTATTCTAGTGTTAACATGCCTGTCAAGAAGATGGGACTTAGAGATGAGGGCTGGCAGATTTACCTGCAGCAGTTCAAGGTATTATTGCTCTCATTCCACCATCCACCTCTGCCAGAGGCCATGGGCTATTGCACAGGTGGCTGAATTTGTTGCATTTCTAGACCACTGTATCACTGCATCTGTATCACTGTGGCTTTCCATGTAACATCTTTGCCAGAAGTCACTGCTAAGAAGTATCATCTGAAACTTCTATAAACCAGCCTTCCACACTCTGTGCCATCCTGTATTATTAGAAGTGAACACATGAGGAAAAATTCCACACAATTTGCACAATTACACTGCAATCTTGCCAGGTTTCCTACTGGCTGGCCTCACTTCTTGCTTTAATCCATAATGCATCTGATCTAAAATGAGTCAAGCTCATTGACTAAAGACAAAAAATTGACAGTAACATACCTGCTAATGAACTGGAATATACGATGGACACATACTTACACCTCTGAGGAGTCTAAACTACCCACACTGTAATGTGACAGACTTACATCTAGCTGAAATACTGCATTTTTTAAAGCACAGTCCATCATATGAACAGCTCCTGTATTTGAGCTGGTACTGAAACCACACTATCAAAAGAACTATCTCTGGTACAGAAGGAAGGACAAGCTGATACACCAGATGGTTGTGTGACCACTCAGAGGAACACCAACAGGCAGGAGAAATGGGCCAACAGGAATCTCATGAATTTCAGTGAAGGGAAAAGCCAAGTCTTGCACCAGGGGAAGAATAACCTCATGCATTGGTACAGAACAAAACAAACATTTTATCTTTAGGGGTAACCAAACAGTGGAACAGATTGTTCAGGCAAGCTGCAGAGTCTCCATCCTTGGAAGTACTCAAAAACTGGCTGGATGCAGTCCTGAGCAACTTGCTCCAGTTGGCCCTGCTGTGAGCTGGGAGGTTGTATTAGATGATCTCCAAAGGCACGTAAAAGAAAAAAGAATCCAAACAACTGAATTTTCTTTTCTAGGAGCTATATCAAAGCTCCTTATAGAAATTAAACCCATAACCCTATGAAAAGGATACATGTTTTAAAGCAATAAGCCTCTCATTTACTGGTATCAGGTCCCTATTTCAGAATTTTCTCTTCTATAAAAAATAATTATATAAATGCTATAAATAAAAAATTATTGATGTCACCATCAGATGCAGTGGTCAAAAACTTCACAGATTAAAATAGACTTTTTGACTACATTCTCTATAGTAACTAGAGTTTCATAAAACAAATCTAAAGATTTGAAAAGAAAGTAAGCAGGGTACAAACACATGCTCTAAAATATTCAATACTTCATGACCTTTGAAAGTCTGACTTTACTTATTCTTTCAGAAGCCTGATCTGTTGTGCTTCTTTTAACTAAAAAATCACTTATTAAAGAGAGAAACCTACTCCCACCATCTGGTTACCTGTACAGTAGGTTCAAACTATCTGAAACAAGACATGACTCCAAAATTTTTTCACTCCTTTTTCCCTTCACTGAAACTATGTTTCCCACAGAAATCAGTGTAGACAAGCATCTGAAATAGAAGCAGATCTTGAAAAAGTATTACAGGTAGGAGGAAAGAAACAAACAAATGGAGAAGGAGACATGAACAGCCAGAAGGCACATGGCTTGATATAGGGTCTAGGGTGATGCAGAAAACAGATACAGATAACAGAGCAAGAAGAGACTGGGAACCACAGAATCACACAAAATCTAGCATGGAGGAAAGGGAGTTATTTGGACCAGCCTGCCAAGAGAATATGAGGGTGGGCTGCAAGTGCATCACACCTTCCTGATATGTCTACACATTTCCCATTGATTGTCCAGGGGAAACTAGCAATCTCTCTCATCCTCAGCAGCAGACAACTTCACTTGAAAAAAGCCTTGGTTTATGTCAGGGTGGTACTAAACAACCAGCTA